TCATGCAGACATTAATTTTCTGTTTGATACAAGCAAGTCTTTAGTATCAAGCCTTTAATAAATACTTTGTCACCCTTTTTTGTGGTGATTCCTCCCTTATTTGATGAAACAGTGCTACTGATAATGGATGTGAAGAAGGACTGCAGAGTTATCTCTTAGAGTTATGAAAATTAAAACTTCGATGTTAAGAAATTTCGATTGAGACTTACGAGAAACCTGAACTTCATAGCCAATGACAAAATTCAGTTTGCATTTGATGAGATCTCACGCTGTGTGCTTAAATCCTGATGTACTGGTGTAGAGCTAGGAAACTGATAGTAAAAATTCTTAAGGACTTGATATGCTGAACACTGCAATTATGGTTGCTGCAGGCACTTCAAGCTCAGCAGAAATGATGTTTGTATGGTTTATCTGAAAAGAATTCAAAAGGGAAAAATAACCAGAAGTGTGTTACTGTAAAAATAGCTTATATAAAAACACAATGGAGAAATGCTCAGTATTGAATAATTCTTTTGGCATACATTGTTCTGCAAGCTGAACTCATTTTAAATCTAACTTAATATTTCATGGTCTGCCCTGAGTTATTTACATCAAAAATGAAATAACTTGAAGGTTAACTGCTGGTTGTACTGCGATGTGACATACAATAAATTTAGGGACTGGAAATTCGGAGCAAAGGACAACCACTGGCATTCCAAATTGTACTGTTCTTCTAAGTGCAGAGCTTTCAAGCTGACTAGGACTGCAATATGCATGATTAGTTTGTTTCTTCCACATTTATGGCATTTTTTATAACCCTGTGCGTGTCCAGAAATAATGCTGCAGCCTAGACCTAAGAAAAAAGAATCAAGCCTTTAGGGGGAGTGTTCTAATAGGGAAATAAAGCTTTGGGATCACCGCTTTGAAGTGCAGTGTACTCTGCAAAAAGAGTATTTGCCTAGGCTGAAGTGTTCCTTCTGTAACAGATTGATCAGTATTTTATAAGTATCTCTTTATGGGGAATGCTACAGTTTAACATCTAAAATTCATGGTCTTCCTGGGGCTTCCTCTCACTGGTAACAAAATTAAGAGAACAGATTCATGGGGTGGATGCAGTAAGTTACAGTATCTAGTTTCACAGACTGAATTTATCTGATACACAAAAATTAATACTTTTTATATTTTAATACATTTTCTCTTACTATACATCTTTGTAGTGGTTTTGAGCACAGTAGTTAATGAGATATAATTAATCTCAAAGTCTCTAATAAGGCTTTTAAAGGGACTCATTATTTGGATCTATAGACTGTATTTCTTTATTCCTCAACATTTAGTTTTCCGTTTTTAAAGAGATGAAAAATAACCAAATGGTTTTCTTTTTTTCATTTATTTGTCACAAGGTGCTTACTATGATGTACCTTTCCCATATTTAACTCTACATGTGTGTTATGTTTCTGGAGCCAATGTTCAGTAAAAGCTACTTGCAATGAAATTATTAAGTTAACAAGTGCAGTTGATGTTTACTTCCCACTAGTCTTTCACAGGATACCAAGGACACACTTGTCAAATTTAGTTTATTAACCTCTCTGAAAGCTAAAGAAGTTGTATCTGTAATTGATTTGAAGTAAAGATACCTTAAACAGTGAGCAACATTTCCAATTAACAGACAAATCTCCCTTTTAAAACTGCATATTTCTTCTTGAATGCTGATCTCGTTCTTTCTGGGTTTAATATAGTCACATTGCAGAACAAGTGGTTATGTGTGACAGCCTTAAGTATCTTCAGCGCCAGTCAATTTTAATATTGTAATTAGTGCCTCAGAGGTTAGGCAAATTTTCTCTCTGGCTAAAATCAAATGTGAAGACTGGATTCTCTAGTCCCTGCTTGGGTAAAGGACATGTGAAATAAGGGGAGGTAGGCTGTGTTCATGTTTTCACACTTGTCTGTGTCACTTGCTGACTGCCCCCAGGCTGTCCTAACTTACCTCCAGCTGCCTGTTTACATCTACGTTAACTCTTTTCAAGAAGTATTTCTCTATCCTGCTTTGCTGGATTCACAATTCCTAGCTTTTACGTCTGATCTAGCCTGAAAATTCGTACTTTGGCAGTAAGATGGGTATACTTCTGGGATTTTCTGACATTCTCTTTTGCATATGTGTGTGCTGCCTTTCAGTATGCATGAGTGACTTTATGGTTTTTGGAACAAACTTAATGCATTAGCTGAGCTAAGCTCACTAAATTGCGGGTGTGAGGAAAAGACATTACATTTTCCATGCAGATGACAGTAGTCCCAGTGGATCATTCTGGCATCCAAAGATGGCCTTAGCTGGCATACTTACTGTTCTTTCATTCCTTAGTCTTGGACATCAGCCATGCTTTGGGTAAAAAGAGTCCCAACATACAGTCCTGGAGGAGGTTTTTTTGTAGCTTTGAATGCCAGTAGTAAAGGCAGAATGTGTGCATGTATGTCAAATTCAGTCTTCATCCTGTAAAGAGCAGAATAAGGACAACACAAGATTCTGTTTTGCAATAATATTCACGCTGCTTTGCACTTTGCCTAGACACTCCTGTTAAGCAGGTGTATGCAGGTGGAACGTGCAGTAAAGTGATAAAGCTTGTCTTGTGTTAGGCAAACCCGCTTTTCACCTGAGCACTTGAGTGTAAGGAGCTTGCTGTTTCAGGCACCTGCTTATACTTACCATACTTCTGTGTAATTTGCATTTTTCTTTGTAGAGCTCTCATTCATGCATTTTTCCCTAGATACGCATTCAATACACATCAGCCATCACCATTTTACCTGGGCACTAGGCAAAACATGAGTTTTTAAAGCTTCCATGCATGTGCATACACAGACACACTGTATTGGCCCAGGATAAGTCATTATTTAACTCAAGCATATAAAACTTCTAACCTGTAACTAATTTTTGAGGGCTTGTCTGTAACTTTTAAGACAAATGCAACTAGAAATAATAGTAATTTAGAATAGACACATAATAATAATTCAGTGTAGGAAGAAAAATATTCTGTTTTAATTATTTAATAGTACAGTATATTTTGTCCGTCTTTTACAAGGTATATTTCTAATTCAGAGTTGTATATGTCGCATTTTTAACTTCAGCTAATATTTTTCCAGTAATAAAAGAAACTTCATATTGTACATACTCTAATAGCATATGCTGGATTAATCAGCCACCATAAAAGAAATTACTTTGTATTTTCCATATCCATTGTAAGAATTGAAAGAGAAATAGGTATTTCCCTGAGCAATGAGAGTAAGGATTTTGCATCTGAAAGATTCATTTCTAGCTTAAAAGGGGACTAAAATCTTTAATAAAATGAATACACATATTTAAATATTTCTTGGAGATTAAAATGTGTGTAGGATATGTGTACACATTGAATGCATTTGAAAGGTTGATTAAATGTCCTCAGATTGCTGTAGGTCTCAGCTGTCTAGAAGAATGTACCACAGCAATCCATGAAGTTATTTACATTTCCATTCATTAAGTAAAATAGTGCATGTGAAGATTGGGGTCTAGCAGAGTGTGATATAATTACATTTATGAAACCAAAGAAGAAATTCTGAAAGGCCTTTATATGTGTCTGATCACTGTGGAACTGTGTTAAGCGACTGAGAAATGTGGTCAGGAGTTAAAACAGGTTTCATTGAGCAGACAGACTTTAAAAGTGTGCTTGCTTATATAAACCCTCTTTTTTCCCCGATTGGAAATTAAATTATTAATGTTTTTTATCAGCCTCATTTGGATTTTTCGACTTTGTGAACTCTGAATACTGTGTACAGTTCTGGGCCCCTCACTTTAAGAAAGACATGGAGGTGCTGGAGCATGTCCATGGAAGGGCAACAGAGCTGGTGAAGGGTTTGGAGCACAAGTCCTGTGAGGAGCAGCTGAGGGAGCTGGGGTTGTTTAGCCTGGTAAAAAGGAGCTTGTGAGGGGACCTTATTACTCTACAACTACCTGAAAGGAGAGTGTAGCCAGGTGGGGGTCACTCTCTTCTGCCAGGAACTAGTGACATGAAGAGAGGAAATAGTCTTAAACAGGGCCAGAGGAGGTCCAGGATGGACATCAGGAAGAATTTCTTCATGGAAAGGCTTGTCAAGCATTGGAATGGGCTGCCCATGGAGGTGGTGGAGTCACCGTCCCTGGAAGTGTTCAAGAAGCGATTGGATGTGGCACTTTAATGCTGTGGTTTAGTTGACAAACTGATGGTTGGTCAAAGGTTGGACTCGATGATCTTGGAGGTTTTTTCCAACCTAAATGATTCTATGATACATATGTGACACCTGGTTGCTCACAATATAAAAATCTTTGGACTGCAAGATAGCGGATGTAGGTGACTGGTTTAGCTGACTTGTACACAGAAAATTTATCTGTCTTTTGGGCTTCTTTATCTGATGGCATCTGACTTATCTTCTGACACTGCAGATGGGGTCTTGGACTGCAGACCAGTGTAGACTGATAAAAATTCCCCCGTCCTGATCTTACAGTGGCTCTTTGAGACTTTTCCTTCAATTTTTATGTTCTTAACATGAACTTACTTGTTTGGCTGTGGGTTTCTGTATTTGGGAGACTACTCCATGCTGTTAGCATGGATTTTTTGCATGTCAAATTTGCTAACAGTAAATGGGTTTTATTCTGAAATCCTGGATGAGAGTACAGTCAAAAGAGTTTTAGCTGTAAAAAAATGATAGCAAGCTTGTAAGTTTTTGAGCAGAGTGCTCTGCTAGCAATTCTGATCTTGGAATTCCTATATACTGGTGTTCATTGTGAGATAAGAATACTTCAGGAAAGCTAAGGCGCAGCTTCAGCTACCAGCATAGTCTTCATTATTTTTATTCTAAGAATAGATGTAAATTTTATAATTGCTTTGTGTTGGAAGTGGAATGTATCTCAATAGTCTGACTGTACTGAGCAATTGGAAACCACTATGATGTTTTTTCAAATCACTTAGGAAAAAAAGGAATATTTCAGTTTGGATCTAACAATTTGTCTCTTCCCTAAGTTGCCGACCAGCAAAGAAGAGAGAAACTGAAAAAGAAGATAGCCAGGTGTGAAGAGAAAATGAGTGTGTGTGAAACTGTCTCCCGATCCAGCTCAAGAGACAGTGGAAGTCTGCCATCCTCTTTTGGAAAGGTAGATATTTTAAGTTTGCTAAATAGATATTATCATATACTTGCCTTCCATAACAACAGCTGATCACTGCTCTGCAGCAGCTCTAGAGCGAGGGCTGGAATACTTCACGCAGAAGAAAATAGACAGCTGTGAGCTCCATACCTTCTAACCTTCCCATTACATACAGTGCCACCCCCCTGCCTCTTCTGCCCTGTTTGTCTCTCCTGAAGAGCCTGTAACTGTCCAACGGGGCACTCCAGTTACAGGTCTCATCCCACCAGCTTTCTCTTATGCCAGTGATGTCAAATCTCTGGGACTGCGCCAAAGCTTCGAGCTCCTCTTGTTGGTTCCTTTTGCTATGGGCATTGGTGTAGAAACATTTCAGGTGTGGTACATTGTAGCCAATACCTTGTGAAGTAGACTGAGCGCTCCTTTTCTCAAGTTTTGGCACACCATTTTGTGTCACTGACACCAGTGAGTCACTAAGTGCAAACTGAGCCTTTTGGTAGAAGGGTAGGCAGTGGAAGTAATTGGGCTGTCATACATTCATGCTAGAAATGAAGCCCTATTTAAACTTTATTTCATTTGCCAAAGTATGCATCGATTTCCTTGTTCATACACCAAGGGACAGTTCCTCTGTTTAAATCGTTAGATGTCCTTTAATGCATTGTGAGGATGAATTACACATGCTAATTGTATTTCTGTAGCCATCAGCATATATTATTGATAAGTGACAGCTGGAAAACAAATTCCTAATGCCTGATAAAGCATATGATATAGAGGATTTTTCCAGTAATCATGTTATTGCTGGTGCCATTAGGAAAAAGCTGAATATACATCCTCTGCTTGTGGAACTGCTCCAAAAATTGTTTTGTTGAATTAGGACATTTCTGGGTTGGGGTGAGAGTCAGCACAAATTTGAAGCAGTCAACCTTGGAATACTCTGGGTTTCCAAGAAGGTAATGGCAAGAGAAGAATGTGGTCCTGTGCTTAATGAACATCTTACAAGATAACAGAAGCATGTAAGAAAAGGAGACAAGCAGAATTCTCCTCGATTTGCCACTGTTACATTTAAATGTAAGAACACAATAGTTAGAAATTCCTTTCATAATGCATAACTTCTTGCCTAATAAAATGTGGCTCTTGTAAAATGTATATAAATTTAAGAATAACGTACATATATATGTATATAAAGATATCACCCTTGTCATTCTGACAGTGTTAATGGCTGACTAGATTGTAAGCTAAATATGTGCTAACCGGCTTTGATGTATGCACCTGACTTCCTATTTTCAAATGGCTTCATTCATTAGCATGTCAAGTTTGGTGCCTTTATTTCATCATTTTCATTATTCACGTACCTGCATTTATTACTATTTAATGCTACAACAGAGCACAGGATCAGTTTTGAGTTGAGACTCTGCTTTGTGCCTGGTAAAAGCAAAAAGAAATAAAAATAATTTCTCTAAATTATGTAATAAATGTTACACATATCTTAAAATCTGTGTGATTTAGTTAGTGTATTTTGTTATACACTGAGCTAACTATGAAACTGAATAGTTGTAATGTGTCTTGAGCATGACTGGCCTGCTCTTAGTTTTGTACAAGGGTTTAAGTGCTCAGTGAATTCAGAACAGTGAATTCTTTACCTTTATATGTAGTTGTAAATGTAATGTTACTGTGATGTGAGAATCTACTATGATATGTAGTGAACAGAGAAAGTGCTTACTAGACTTCATTACTGACTTTTTGAAATAATTAGTGATTGTCATCAAAAGAGTATTTTGGTCAGAGATAAGAAAATTGCATCCAGAACTGTGGGTTAAGATGTGATAGAAGTTTATGGTGCAGCATGAATTTCTCTACTAAGTGAGAAGCAAAGGAAGAGGCTCGTTCTCAAATGTCACAATAGGGTAGCCTTCGGATCTGTGGGACTGCTGGAACCTAAATTACTTCGAAGACAGTAGTGTATCTCTCACAGCACAGTAGAAGGACAAGGAGGCATAAGATGCCGTGGGGACAGCTGTTCTTCTCTTCTGCTCCTCTCTTTCCATGTAGCATAATAATGATGGTGACACCATGTGTGAAAGTTAATCAAAATAGGATGTTAAATTACAGATACAGATGCTGAAAGGGCTGCTAACTTTGTGGTTGTGTATCTTTGTGAATATGTAATTTTTAAGCAAGTATTAGATACTTAATTAGACAGAAAATATTGTGACACCTATGCATGCTGAAATCCTTAGATTTTTAATTTTATTTTTCTATACAAACTGATGTGGGTTTTTAAACATTCATCTGAGTTATTCAGCAAGTCAAGTTGGATGAAGCTCAATGTGACTTATCTCTGAAGCAAGAAAACCTGAATTGAGCTGGCCACGAGTAAAATCTATGATTTGAACAACTTGGCATTTCATATCCCATGTTCAAGTAATCCTATTAATAGGCATTTCTGGCTGCAAATGATGTTTTAAAAGAAGTTAATCCATGCCAAAAGTCAGTTGAAGGAAGCGTACTTCACAGGAGGTTATATTTTCTCTTTTAACTATTTGAAGTATGGTTGCCATTGCTTTGACATTTCAAGATCCCTTTCAGTCTGTTTTTTGAGACTTTTTTGTTTTCTGAAGAATTAGTTAGGACCATCTGCTTGTGCATATGAAATACAGATTGCAAAACACCCATTAACTGTCTCTTGTTAATTTTGTATGCAACGTACATGTGTGGCTATATGAAATGCCTACTCAAATGCCTTATATTTGAAGATTTATTATACTGTTATGTTATTAACAGTCTGAAGATGTATTGTGCTTAGAATAGTTCTGTCAGAGTGAGAGATGTGACTAAACAAAGCAGAAAAACCTTCTGAGCATCAAAGAAAGTTATTTTCATCAGGAATGTTCAGTACAGATTTCCTTTCAGGCTTCGTAGTGACAATCACCTCTCATGCTCGTTGCTCGAATTAATACATTTCCATATGCACATTCAGTAATACCCCTTATTAATAATATCACAGTATTTGATGAAAGTAGGAACCTACCACAGTATACACACATATGCACACACATGCATAAAAGGAAAGAGTGTAACAGGAACATAGTTTTGAAAGAGAAGAATAGTTATTATTCATGCCAGTATGCAAACTGATTGTATTCGTAGGGGGTCCAATTTGTTCACATATTTGTGTTGAGTTTTCTCTCTTGACTTTCTCAGTTTGTAACAGATGACATGCAAGGGTTTTATGACAGCAGCATCTCTAAAGGCAGCTTTAAAGAGACCTTTTCTCTGTCCAGGCATTGGAGAGCAGGCACTCAGCCTGCTTACAGCAATATGTAAATGGCTTATAAATGGAACTGTCTCAAGTTAAAAGAATCACACATTTATTTCAAAATTGCAGCTTCTGTATCTTGGCAGTGCAGTTCATAAAGCATCTCTTCGATCTCATTTTATGATGGTAGATGAACTATTCTGTTGGAAGACCTTTTCATACAAGGACAAGTTAATTTCAAGATTTAAATTCATCTTAGTGTAACTTCAGTGACCCCAGTGAAAGCTGCCTTGGACCTTTTATGTGAAAAAGGATTTGGCAAGATTTCTCTTCACAGTTTGGTTTTTATAGGGCAGCTGATACTTCAGTGGCTTTTGAGTTGAGAAACTAAACTTCTTTTCTTTTAGAAAGTAAAAGTAACTTCCAGAGAAATCTGAATTCTTTATCTGTGTTACTACTTTTGCCCATCAGATGACAGCAGTATGCTTTGATCTGTTTTTACTGAATTTTCTCTTCCACAGAGTCCATGAAGATTCAGATGTCCTCTCTATACAAGCATTGTGCAAGCACTGTTCAATTTACCCAAGTTTTGTGACTAATAAAATTGAAGCATAAATATGTACTTTTTGAAACATTTTAAAGGGGTTGCTGAACTGTGTCATCGAGTAAATTTGTATCTTTGAAAACAAATTACAATTGTTTGAACCAATAGAATAGGAACATATATTGGTAAGCAAGATATGATTCAAGATTTTTGACTCCAAATTACAGTAGTTGTAGTTCTTGATAGTTCTAATATCTAAAGCTATGATATTACCATGGAATAGTTTTTTAATTGTATCTGAACAATAAAATGAAATATATTTTAATCACCGTGCTACTGCATATTTGTAGGCATGTTTTTGTCTTCTTTATTTTTTTCTTTCCTACCTAAACATCTGATGTTTTTATAGATAACAGACTAGAGAAAAAATTGAACATACTTGCTTACAGTTTACTTGCCTGTAGGAACACGGGTGTACAAATAATCTTCTGAAGGTTTGGAGACAAATTGCAGGCAAACAGCATTTCTGACACTCCTTAAATCTTTTTGAAGTCACCAACCTAGTTCCTTGTTCCTGATATTGTTTCTTATTGTTTTGAAGGCAAAACTTCCTAGTTTAGGCAGTAAAGTTTTATAGCAGGATAAGGACTTTGAAAGACTTTTCTTCTTTCTCAGTACTTGAGTGAGGACATCTCACAACTGACACAAATACAGCGTAGGGTTCCAGTCTCTCTAGTCACTTGGTCTCTTCTACTTATGAAACATTTGAGGAGGAAAAGAAAAGAACTACCCTAAGCTTCTTCATATGTAAGGAATGCTTAAATTAAGGATATTGCTACATCAATCCTGTAACTTTGTCTTGTTTTAGGATCAGCTCAACTGCTTCAGAGGAATAGAACATGTCACTTTCCTGAGGTGTAGTTGAGTAATTGGCCAATATCACTTCATACCTTTTCTTAGTTACTATTTTGCATGGGGCAGGGAACCAGTCATCATATGCTCACAAATGCTTCTACAATCTGATTTATAGTGCAGCTCCATGAACTAATTTAGCCACTCAGAGTAAAAAATTTACAAGAAAAAATAAGCTACTTATAATATACAGTGAAGAATATGGAATTAGCTTTTCAAAACATCTATATAGGTGGATTCTGAAACTTTCCAGTCATGTCTGTTTTCTGTAGTGCTGAGCTACCATTGCAAGTACTTTGTATGCAAACAATCACACTGGTAAGCCTCGTTATACTGCTTGCTAAGGCATTTGTTTGGCATTGTAACTGCATGTTATCAGTTCAGCATTTAATTATGCTGTAGTAGTAAAATAAAGTCAGCTTACACCATCAAGAAGAGCTCATTTTGCTTCAGCTAACTAAAAAAATAGCTCTTTGCATTAGGCATCAGCAGCTGTGGACATTGGGGTACTGGAATACTGTAGATAGGTCTTACTGATGTGAGAGAAAATAGTTGTGAAGGAAATATATGGTATGACAGCAATGTGATCTGTGACTTAATTTTCATGGTAAAATATCTGCATTTTTAATATTCCTCTAAATAATGTTTACTATATGCCACAAGATGTATAGTCATCATATTTGAGCTTCAATTTAAAATATTAAGTGTTTGTTAAAAACCTGAGTTGGTCTTAGAAATTGAATTTTCTTTTTAGGAAACACCTCTACTTGTATACATGCTTTTAAATCTTACAGCACTTTGTTGCTGCTGATGTGGACCTATATGAACTGCCTAAGTGTAAGGAAAGTATGATAATAATTTCAAAATGTCAGCTGTCAGTTTTGAATTGGATTTTGTCAGTTGTTGTTTTATTTTAGTTATTTTGCCTTGCGTTTTACTGATTGCATGGTACGGCAATGAGATTTTCCAGAATAACACTATCCTCAACTTATGTCCCTCACTGCTGCACTGTGAGCACTGTCTCTGGGAGTTATGTTGCCAGGTAGTTTGAGTGCACACAATGTGAGTCATCTCTTCTCCATCACACGGTTGTGTGTAACAGAATTTCATAGTTATACACGTGGTTTAAATAAATTAGTTTATACAAAATTTTGTTTGCTGATAGGCTTCTGGCTTAATCTTCTAGTTCTGCAGAATGCCTGCCCTGGAGATTGTAAAATATCATACATCATTTTCCCTGACTGACAGAATATTCAGTGCATGGCTCTATCCTAGGTAGGAAAGGAATATACAACAGCTGTTTTGGTAAGGTGCTTTCTAAGTTTTCAGAAACATTGTAAAGCACATTTATGAGTGTGCATGCCCTGTACAGGTATTTATGCTTTGAAGTTGCAAATTTTTAAAAATTTTCTCTATGACAGAAATAAAATTTCTATTTAATTGTTCTTCCTCATTTAACAAAAAAAAAAAATAAATCTTAAGATGCCACTTAGAGTTAGTTGTGTTTTTGTCTTACTTGTCTTTACCACAGTGTCATAATACAATTCAGGAGTAATGTTGAATTTTTAAGCATGGGATAATTATGAGTAATGTCTACCTTCCCTGGGTGGTATGAACAGAACATACCCAGATAAAATAATTTGCTACAGTGCAATGAATCCTTGACTTCTAAAAATGTATTGAGCCTTTAGACTCATACAAAATTATTAAACTCTTGGTTTGATGTAGGCATCAATATTCTGTAACAGAGCACCAATGTTTTGCTACTGAAGCAAACTATTTGCTTGTTACTCTCTTTATTTCCTGTGATTAGGTTTGTAAATCTATTAGTACTGGGACTACTCTGAAACCAGTTTGATATTACAAAAATTGGAAGTTCTTACACAGAAAATACCTCCAAGTTGGTAACAATAATAGGTGAGAGTACCATCGTGAGCAAAGTTGGTAACTTGAAAAGCAATCAAATGTTGTTTTATTTTTTTCTAGAGTTTCTTGGAAGAGGAAGACAAAGATGGTCTCTTCCCCTGTGCTGGCCAGGCAGAGGACCTATGTAGAGCACTGTCTCCTTATGGGGAGCATGGCTTGGTTCACACTAATAGAGTAAAATATGCCACAAAATGCTCTCGGAATACATCTAGGGCATCTTACTCAACCTCAGGTATCAGTACATCAAGGCCACCAAGAAACTGCTCTGGACTTTCATGTAGTCGCTCCGCTGTGAGCACTAGTCATTCCCAGAGATGTCAAAGAAGCAGCCCCAAAGAATGCAGCGGGGATCTTCTAGAGAGGCACTCTGAATACTTCACTAAGAGCCGAAAACCTTTTACTCCACGCACCTTAATATCAGATGCTAAATCTTTCCTGTTGCAGTACAGATATTACACTCCTGCTCGAAGGAAAAAGAAGAATCCCCGCAAGCAGCGTGTGGAAGTTCAGACACAGACCGATGTGATCAGGTACAGAGATTGAAACTTTATTTTGAAACTCTAGAATTTAGATGTTATCATAACAGTATCTTCATAAAAGCAGCATGTTTTGCTTTCATTTACATTTGTATTAAACCAGAATAATTGTTCTGAAGTTATTCTAGATATGCCTTAGCAAAAGCTAAGGAGGAACTGGTTTTATGTATACAAATTGGATATAAAGTGCTGCTAAATTCAAACTGTGGGATCTTGCTGGTGATAGTCATTCCCTCTCTGTTCCCTAGGCTCTCTCTGGTGTGTGGTTGTGCTTTCTGTCTTGTTAAGAATTAATGAGTGTAAGCATGCAAGTAGTTCTCCACTGTTGCCCCTATAGTCTTATACTTTCCAGTTTGTCAATTAATACATCATGCAAAGATCCTTTTTTTAAATTCTTGAATGCTGTTCTTCATTGTCTTTTTATTACTTGAATTTAAATACCTTCATATATACCTTATATTAAATATTTTAAACAAAATTAGTGTCCTTCTCTTGCATTGAGCTTCTTAGCAAATTGAACAGTTTTGATTAAGTTCTAGTTTTACTGATACTACCTCATAGTAGGAATTTCCTAAGACTGGAATTATGATAACTTCAGCTCCATGTTGCAACTGTTGATTTTCTGGCTGGGGGTCATCTATATTCCTGGTGCACTTTTTATTTTAGGATCATCTCCATTCTAAATTCTGAACAATTATTTTGGATAATTTAGCTATCCCCTGTCAATATGCAGCGAAATTATGGATTTGGACCACCTGTGAATGACTATTGTTATCCTTCAAAAAGAACTATAACTTAGCTTTATTATGTGATTGAAAGTCTGGCAGAAATGTTCTAAACTGTCTGGTACTAGGTTCCGTTCAGAGGGACAGGAAATTTGCACAGTGGCACTGATATTCTAATCCTGCATATTTTGAAAGTAGCCTACTTGGAAATCTAATACCTTTCTAAATTTTGTAGGTTTTCATGTGCAGACAAAGTGTCTGGGAGAAAAGTTATGACTGAACAGCAGAAGATAACATTGAAGGTAATAATACATCTATCAGTCATCTGGGTTCTCTTAACCACACCCCTCACCATCATTGTGGGGTATGTACTTCATTGCTGCCTCAGCAGTATACAACTGATTTAGGTTTTGTTTTCTGTATTGCCATGAGATGAATTAGTTCTGTAGAGGAGAGAGAGTTTCAGAAGAATGAGTGGAAACAATAAGGAAAAATATAGAGGCACATGAAGAGATATCTTGATTTATTTTTCAGTTGTTTCTATAAGTGCACTATCAAATATCTGTTAAGGTCATAGATGACTGGTGCATGACTTTTCAGCAGAAGAATGTGTGCCTTTTTTTCTGTTTACCCAGTTTTTCAGAAAAGACATAAAATCTGTAGGGCTGCTTAATCATAGAGAGTTATTAGATTCATTTTAATGGTTAAATTTTCCATGTATTTGCACCGATAATAAAGATTTTTATCTCTGTGTTGTAGGCTGAAGATAGAAGATATACTGTGGATGAGCCTGACAGAGGAATAGATGCTTGTCCATGCGCCATCCTAAGGTGCCTGATTTACAGCAGGAAGGAATATTTGAACTGTTCCTCCTTGCTTTCTATACAGCTGGTCCTTAGGCCACAATCCTTCCCTACCATTTCTCTGTATAAGTTTCTTCTCACAGGACTTCTGTTTGGTTGTTTTTTACATAAATGGCCCAACTTCAAAATTCATTATTTTCTTACGACAAAGTTTCACTGGGAAGCCAATTAAGAAAGATTGCTCTAAAATACATGAGTATTTTTGTCAGAAGTGAGAGTGATGACACGTTAATACAGCTGTTAATTCTGTACATCTGAGCTCACACTGTAACTAAATACTGGATTGGTATTCCAATTGGTATTTCCCTTTAGGAAAAAGTGTCTTCAGGCATCCAGCCTTTTGAATCTACAATATGTGAGAATTGTAGACCAGAAGTATTTCCCACATCTTTTTCTGAAAACATAACACTGAGATTTAGAATATTGCTACAATGCAAAAGCAGTGTTGGAAATCAGGCCAGAACTCAAGGGCTCTGAGCTTATTCTCCTCATTGCTGACCTAAATGTTGGTCTGACTTGCTGATTCGGTCTCTGCCCTTGTCATACAAAGGCATTTTTGTCTGAAGAAAAAATGTACTCTGAGTTAAAAAAGCACTCTTATGAATAGTGGAGGTCAAATCGCATCTGAAGCAGCACTGAGGTCTTTCGAGCACTGCATCTAGTGAGGTTTTGTAATAGTTTTGAACTATAGTCTTTCAGGCTTCAGTGTAAGCAATGGATTTTGCTCCTGGAGCAGGGCTTTTGGGTGTTCCGGTGGGTTTTTTTCCGAGGGGAAGTGGCACAGCATGGCTCTAGAAGAAAATGAAATGCAAGGTAGTACAAAGGGAGTTTAGAATGTTGTTCTCTTTCTTGCCCCCGATCTTCTGATTAGAGAGACATCGTTGAATTCTCAGAAGTCTTCACCAAGGAAGACTGTCGAGGCTCAGTAAGTATGCTTAAACCATTTTTCTGCTCATTTACAACATCAAACTAGAAAGCTTTCCTCAAAACTGAGTAAATAAGGACTCCGAATAAACTTCACAATTTGCAGAATTGATATGACTATGATTTTTTATTAAATAATTAAAAATTTTTATGTGATTCTAAAAATTAAGGCAATTCATTATATTTTCAGAAGAAGGATAGACTTCTCTTCTTGTACAGTGACTATGGTTTAACTTTCCATTTCTGTTTTGGTCTGTAATCTCTGAAGCAAATATTGGCAAATAAAATACCAAGTTGAAGGGCATTCTTACCACATTTCTGCACTGAAATTTGATGAGAATTAGAAGAGGTTTGAGTTATATTCAGAAACATGGCCAATGCTTTATCAAATGGCCTTGGGAAAGTCAGTTAATTCTTTGTGCTTTAGGACAGGCTTGTTCCTGCCTAACTTTGAGCATACAATATCAAAGATCAGCTGTAGATATCTTTCTCGAGGGAAGTAAAATTATAATCTTTAGTCTGGATGACAAATTTTATGTAATGAAAGTCATGCAAGATGTATTCCATTTTTTCTCTTTGTTAAGACTGGAGGATGATTCAGTAGAGTTTGGATGGATACTTTGGGAGATTTCAAAAGATGCTGTGAAAGAGAAACAGCACTGAAATATTTCCTTTTGAGGTTTTCTTTTTTGTTTGTTTTTCAACCAGAACTCCAGACCTAGAGAGTCTCCCATTTAGAGCAATTGGCATCAACAAGGCTTTAAGAGGTATCAAATAGAGATAAATTTGTTCCAAGAGGTGAAAGTCACATCTCACACTAAAAAGATTTTGTACATCAAAGAAATGTGTTTGAAAGGAGTGGAGGCTGTCAAATAAGCACTTAAATTTTTCGGAGCTTCCATTTAGGACTAGCAATTTTCAGCCACAGTCAGATTCTGTAGAAGGTCCTTTGGAAGCCTTTACCCAGAGCATCAAACTGCAGTTGTACACTTTCTTCTTGAGTGCAAAGGAGGTTCTGAATGCTTTCCAGGATTTGCTGATTCCCTCACTCAGGATCTCTGTGCTAAATTATACCACAACAGAAAGTTAGCATAAACACAAAACACCATAGCAACAGTCTCATATTTTGCAGATTGAATGAAAGGTTTAGTTTGTCCTGATAGACTTATCTTTTATGAAAAATAGCAGGTGTTACAATCTTTTTAATGGCCTTTCTCATGAAGATGATTAGACCTACTACATTGTGTCATATGTGTCTCTTTTTTAAAACATTTGACATTTGGTTTTCTATTCTCCCTGCAGGGAAGAGGAGCTTTTGTATTTAACTTTCATTGAAGATGTAACAAATGAAATTCTTAGCCTTGGCCTATTTTCTAACAGGTAGGTTACCGCTATTTTCTGTTTTGTAATGCTGTGTTAGAAACACACGGACTCAGTAAGAAAGGGAAGTGGTGATTAGTAATCATTTCTTTGCCTTTAAGAATATATATACACAGTTGCCACTTGCTTTTGTTTTGTTTCCTTTTCTGTTTTGCTCTGTGTAAGAAAGAGGAACTGTGAAATACCTTTGGGTCATCTAATTTGATCTGCTGCTATGTACCATGAGATCAAAGCTTCTGTTAGAAACTGACCTGGAACCATAGGTGGAATAATGCTAAGAAAAAATCATTTCACTCTGCGGCATCTCTTTTGCTAAATTAACTGAGTTACTAATCTTTCACACAACAAATCCTCAATCTCCCTTCTCTCCTTATTCCTGTTCCAGTACAAATTCAGTCTTCAGCATGGGTTGCCAGGATTACATTCTGTTTTAGATAAAGGTTCACCAGTTGCTAAATCAGAATTTTTTCAATAATTAAACAATAAATGTATTTGAGTAGTACTCTCCTAAATTCTTTTCCATACCAGTTCTTTCTGATAAAGAACTCTCAGTTTATGTGAAAAACCCTACAGTATTTCTGGTACAGAATTTTAACCCACTTTTGTAATTGCACATTCAAAGCAGTCTAATTTCATAATATTCTGATCTTCCTCTGGGTTGATAATTTCCCCAGCTGTTTCTCTAGTCTATGCACTCTCTTGTTTTTTTCTTCTCATGTCAAGGCTATCAATGAGAATGTTAAGTATAGTAAGTAAAAAAATTAGCGAATTTGGAAAGCAGTCTTTGTCTGGTCCTTTTTTACAGTAATGTTGTCTTCCCTTAATACCCTTCTTGCACTATTTTTTTAAAAAATAGTTTCTCATGTAAACTAGATTAAATTCACTTGACTTTCTGAAAATGTGTTCCAGTGACTGTGTACCTCAGTTGTCACAGAACACTTTGTCTGCAGAATTTTTTTTCTCATTCTGCTTAAGCAATGGAACAGAACTCTTATGACTGAGGACTTTTCTCTGGATTTTTTTTACCAAAGCTGGATTTTACTCTTTCCTTCTATTTACTCTTGTGTATGTCAGCCACTGTGGTGGAATTTAGAGATTTTGGATACTTTATCATGCCAGTAGAACCACCACTGGATTGTTAGCATCTCCCACCATATTGACCCAATAGACCAGCACAGAATTGTGCTACAAATCACCCTGTGGTTACCACCTGCTGCCCAAAGCTGGGTCTGCCTGCTAAGCACGTGTCCAGTGGGTTACCAACCACAGGTTTCTGACAGAGCATAGTTGAAACAGTCTTAGTGGTCCCATTCAGCTAAGAAATGAAAATAAAAAAACTATAGTCAATAATTTATGTAGATCTGTTGAAAGATGGTTTTATTGCTGTGCAGTAATTTGATTTTTCATTTGTAGGGTTCTGGAACAACTGTTTGAGTGCCATATAGAAGAAAATAAGCACCGTTTGGATGAGGTAGGTGTTGACCCTGTAATAGTCTCTCTCTCTGCATATGACTTAGGTGACATTTCCAAAAAGTGTAGTGGTAGTTTTGAGGATAAAGGTAACCAGAATTCTCAGTGGGAAGCCTCTCTCTCCATAAATGAAATTTTCAGATTCATGGATCATGGCAGATGAAGAGTCACAGGGACAGTGACAAAAGTTTGGTGACACTCACTCTTGTAATTTAGTCACTTGATTGCAAGCAGCCTCTGTTTCCTTCTGTCAGAATTAAGCCCTGAGTTTGAGCAGTGCTCAGGTGCTGTGGGGCTAGAGAAATGTCACTGTTCTTTCCTTACCCCCAGGCCAAAATGCGCCACATGTTGGATGTGCTGAAAGCAGACCTCGGATACGGCCCAGACAGCGAGGCAGAGCAAATCCATGAAGGCTGTGAAAGCTTTGACTCACTGGATCTGCAAGAGTTTGATACTGTGGAAGAGCTCAAGTTTACCAGTAAAGGTCACAGGGTAAGAAAAGCCACAAAAAGTGAAGAGTTCTTTGAGACCATGGATTTATCATTAAAGGAACCAAACAAATGTGAATCACCATTATGCAGGGAAATGTCAAAGGAGACACAGAGCGTGGAGGACTTTTCGGAAGACATGGCAGAAATTATGGATGCTGGGACAGAGTCTGATTTTTGTGTGAAATCTGAAGAACACACAGACACTTCACCCACATGTGAGGCAACTTTAAACTTGATTGCTTGTGACAGTGATTTGGAAGTCAGTAAGGAACTTGATGATCTTGAGGAAAGCTTTGCAGAGGCCCTTCAGATCTCACATGATTATTCATAATAGTAGCCAAAACTTAAATAGGAATAAAGCTACTTCTGTGGTGAACTGCCATTTGTCAAATAGTAGTAAATTATTTATTTTCAATTTATTTCTGTTTAAATATTGCTAAGATCTCTCTAGCAGGATACTATTAATTGGGCATTAATTAATCTCTGTGTCAATGTAGACTCTAAAGGGTCAGTTATCAAAAGAATTTTGTATATTTTGCCTATAATTGTATAACTCGGAACAAACTTTGAGAATACTAAAATTATATTTATAATTTAAAAGCTGTAATAGTAAGTTATGAAATATTTATTGTTTTAAATAAATTAATTGCTAGTGCAGTTGTGCTCCTGCTATAAAGATCCAAGATTTTGTAGTCTGCAAGAATTCAGCAACTTAACATCAATTTAACATCAAACAATGTCGTCTTCCAGAATGGACAAACAATTCCAGTATGTAGTACACTATGTTGACGCTCACAGAACACTACAAATGAAAAATCAAATTATTTCACAGGAAGAAAACCAACTTTAACAGAGCTAAATAAATAACTGACCGTAGTTTTTTATTTTCATTTCTTAGCTGAAGGGGACCACTAAGACAGTTCAATTGCTTGCATTGATGACAGCTGCAGCATAGCATTCTGCATCAGGCTTTGGTTTTGGAAAAAGATTGAGTTGGGTACTACTTGATGACTGCTAGTCTAGTAGAAGATACGTCAGGCATTTTGTACAACAAGTGGAGAAAAGGTGGTGTACTTTATGGTTAAAGTTTAAATTGAAGTTATAACGTGCATTGCACAAAATCAGCCCAAATTTCATCGTTTGATTAAAGAGAGTACAGCTATTTCCTGGCATTCGTGTTACTGCAGAATGAGCTTAACAGGTTCTGAGGAGAAGCTCTTGCTCTAGGTGAGGAACTATAAGAAGCCTTAGGAACTGGATAAAGCCTGTTCCCTAGTATCTTTTAGGATTGGTTTTAACCTTCTTCCTCCAAGGACAAGCCCAAGTTGTGCCAGTTGTACCAGTTCATACACGACAGGCACCACCTGCCTCCCCTGTGCCTCGTGAGCATCTACCACAGACTTGATTCCGTAAGTGAGATGACCAATTACAGCTGGAAGTAACTCTGATAGACACAGACCACTGCTTTACTTGTGAAGCATAAACTTTGGGCAAAAAAAAGCAATCTCAAAAAAAGTCTAGGAAAAGCCAACAAGACAAAAACATTTCTGGCACAATCATCAGCACTGCAGTGCAGAACATAATTCCCCAAAAATGCAAAAGCCGCTTTCCTGGATGCCTTGTCCACAGTAATAAATTGCACTTGTTGACAATGACAGCAGACCAGGGTTTATTTTAGCCTTGTACACGTAGCTGGGCAGATGGGCACTCAGCTGGCACTCTTAATCTGGCCTGCAGCATGAGTGCTCTGGCTCACTGAAAAGCAGGTAAGATAAAGTGAGGATTTTGGCATCCCTCTATCAGAGCCTGTCTTGTTGAAAAGATGTGGCCACAGGGCTGAGTCAGTACAGTGCAGGGATGGGTTTTTCCTCAGTCACAAATGATCACAGCCCTTCTCCCATTCACAAAGAAACTCCCTATTTCTTACCCCAGAGAGCTGAAGGGCAAGATGCCCCTAGGAAAGTATTGTTTTTATTGTATGAAGAATTCTGATACGAAGGACTGGCTAGAAAACTAAAGAGTCTGGTTAGATGTATGCAAGTATAAAGCCTCCTTGCTCCTCAGACAGGACTTCACCCACTCTTGGGGCCCTCCATTCCGAGTTCTCCATTCTTGGTCAGTAATGAAATTTAGGGGGTTTCTTTCCTACCTATTAATACACTGTGACTTGCACATCATAAAAAAACATCACTCAGCAAACTTTGGCTTGTTGTCAACAGGAGTCTGATTAAAGATTAATAAGAATTTCACATTTAAATTCTATAAATGAAAAAACAAACAAAACACCACAGCAGTGAACCTCACAGAAAGGCACAAATAGTGACATACTCATTTCCTGTTGTATGAGTAACACAAAGCCAAATAAAAACAGTTCCTTGACCATATTTCCTGTTGATGAGCTGTTTGAACATCAATGACATTTTTTCTGGGTAGATGGAACTTAAATAAGGAAATAAATTCATTAAAGCAGGCCTTTCACAAAGAAAGTATCTATCTGCCTGAACTGTAACTGTGAACATTTATTGGATCCATAGTGAAGTTTCTGTTAAAGAACCAGAAAATCACACACCCCAGAATGCAGTAGCTGGAGCAGTCAGCACAGTCTGCAGAATTGGTTTCTCATTGTACAACCATTCTCATCAGATAGTGGGGAAAACACATTCTAGATAAATGTTATCTATGTAAGATCAGTTTATCTACAGATCAAAAGTAAATCCAGGCTGCCCTGCACTTAAGACTTTCTCCCTTCTATTCACGTTTAAGGTGGTGCTTAAACTATAAGTTGTTTAAGGAGCTTGATGTGCAAGCCTGACTCTCATCACATGAGATTAATCAACAGCACAAGCTTTGGATTTTTTTTCTGAGGGTTTTTGGTTGGTTGGTTGGTTGTGGGGTTTTTTATTTCATCACCTTTTACTTGGTGATATACTCAGGTCTTGGCACAAGCAGTAGCAGAACAAGGCAGTCACGACACCACTACCAATCTGAATCCTTCAGAAGTAACAAACTCAGGAGCAGTTGGCAGCTGTGATCTGCAACATAAAGACCTATTTCTGCCCATATTCATGTGGGCAGTGAGCACATGTATCACAACATCAATGTTTTCTTCAAACGGACAAAAGCTGCTGATATTACTTTGCTCTGTAGCAAAACAGCCTCTTATCTTTAAAGCTACAGTTTTGTCATCACTGTTCTTTTTAAAAGGTACGATTCTGTTTATATACAAAGCAAACTGGGGCTTTTGGTCATCTGAAGTAAAGATTAATGGGATCAAAGAAAAAGATGCTTAGATGTCTTAGGGCTGACCAGAAAACAAAAACCTTCAAGCAAACTCCAAGCTATCATTTAATCCCTGATGCAGCCCATGTGTAAGGCTCCTACACAGTTTTCATTTAGGCTTAGCTACAGAATGACTTCGGAGTCCTGTTTCTCTGCATTTCTGTACACTTTTACATCATTTATAGCTATGCATCAGTAGTTATAAGAATGATGCAGCTCAACTGATAATGTTTCATAATTCAAGTACAAGTGGCTCCATCAGACAGTGGGAAAAAAGGGCTACTTTTTTTCTCAGCAATGATTTGTGCAAGGATTATGAGCAAGACAAATGGAACATCAGCATAACTAAAAATTAGGCCCAGGGGTTCATTTGTAGCTCCTAATGCAGGCTGTTCCACTGCAGTGAAGGCACAGCTTCTAACCAAGATATCCCAGTAATGCCCTTCAGTGCCGGGCTACTGTTCCTGTGTGCCCAAGCACCAGGGAAAGGCAGCAGCCCCAGGTCATAGCCTGGGGGAAGAAGTAGTAATGGAAAATGAGTGTTAAAGAGATTATAGGGAAAAGGGACTGGGAAAAGGGAAATTACTTATTCCATCTTTTAAAAAAATGGTGAGACCTATTATTGGGTAGAACACGGGTGCAGAGCAGAGACTGGTTAACATTGGTCTTCAGACATGTTTTAGAGCTCCCTTAGTTTTTCTACTTGTGTATCATAGCATTTGTATTTGAGTATTTGAGACTTAAAAATCTGTGAAAAGGAAAAACCCACAAAATTGGGACTTAGGCTGTACTTCAGAGAACTATGGAAAACTCCAGCATCCCTCTTTAGTTTTTGACCACTCAAGGCAGGAGCATACACTGCTAAGCAAGTACAGGGCACTGCAGCTGCATGATGTCTCTAGAGCAATCCACCTTTTCTTTCTGGCACTTTCCAGGCACTTAACCTTTTTTTTTCAGGAGCTGACAGCTGGTATGTACACAGATTACAAGGAACAGAACAGCAACCAGTGATTTAAAAAAAAAGAAAATCATTTCTCGCTCTCCAAAACCACCAAACCAGATACTCACGAGCAGTCCAATCTTCCTGTTTTCTTTATTAATAGTGAAATCTGCTTCATTCAGAAACAACCACCTTCAGTTTCTATTTCAGATAGCAAAGTGAGTGATACACAAACAGGTGAGCAGAAGATTGATGTGCTGCACCAGCCATTGCCCCAGCATGGGTCACAGCCAGTCAAGAGATCCAGTTTCAACACCTGTAGCAGGTTGTGAGCCAGCGGAAGCTGAGCATGTCACAGGGGTAAAGCGTCACTGGGAAGGGAAAAGAATCAGCAGTTATCACTGGCATGACAAGTCATCAGCTGACCCACAGAGCACCCATACATCATCTCCATTTCAGCCACCTTAAAGAAAGCCCAGGAGGACTGCAGGATGTCAGGCCGTTGATGAATAGCAACAAGAAGTGTTAATTCAAGTGAAGGGAACCAAAATTAAGGATCAAGTGTCTGCTTGTGCATGGGACCTTCTGTTCTCTGTAGAAAGCCTCCAGAGCAGTTGGGCTCCTAATGGAACCGATCCATTTAGCTCACCACTTAGCTAATTCCAGCAGACAGCAAAGGGAAGGAGGTGTGCCTGACACCCAGGTGACAACACACAAAACATCACTTTCATTCTTTTAAAATGTGACACTGGCCTGTAAAAGGTAGACTCTCAACCCAGCACCACGTTTTGGGCTGGAGGAATGCCCAAGGTGCCAAAAACCCATCCCCACAGGGCACGGGCAAAGGCAGCTGCTGCTGTGCCCTTGCTGCTCTTGTTCCCAGGCTTCAGCACACACAGTCTCCCCTGCAATCCTTCCAGCCCTACCACATCGGGAGAATGAAATTAGACCTTGAGAAGGGCAAGGAAAGGCTACATAAATGGAGTAGGGAGGCCTATGAAACTCGAGAAACTCGAACACAGCCTCAGCCTGGCAGGCCACAGAGCTATGCTGTCCCATTCTCAGAGGACAGGCAGCGTGATCTGTAGCACGAGGTGCAGAGCTCTCTGCAGTTATCCCAAGAATTCAGCAAGCCCGTAGGACTCCCCTTACAGTATCTGCGTGAGGACTGC